TGTATACCGCATACCTTAATAGACTATCCATAAACTATATATAGCATACATTGATATGCGTTGCTACAGAAGGATGCTCCCAAAGTGTGACCAACGGAGAAGTACGGAAACAGGTTGCACATAGACGATGCAGGCAGTGATGAGAAGGACACTTGAACTATTCGGACACACGTGTAGGATGGACAACAACAGGAACATTTAAAGGCGTGTGGTCGCTCGGAAAAGTGGAAGCAACCGCAGAGCGAGGAAGACCTCACAGAGAATGGCTTAACGACGACATAAGAAGAGATTAGTGCCAGAATAATGTGCGCATTGCTTGAGCATATTGGCACAAGGGAGAGGAAAGTGGAAACAAATGACGACATGTGCAGTGGACACCTACGGGCGATCTGTCCATGGATCGTGATGATGATAATGATGATGATATAGATGTATGTACAGACCACTGACACGCTGAAGGGTGTAGGATCTAGCCCACGACCAAGTTGGCAGAGTGTAAAATCCTGCCATGGATTGATGCCTCAATCACTCTTCTGTTCAAAAAGGAGACAAAATTGATTTTAATAATTTCACACTCATCAGACTCTCAATGTTAGTTTCTTCGCAAACATATATTAATTATTCACGGAGATCACAGAGAACCAAACAATTGGACAATTATGAGGCCAACCAATCACGAACGGGATTCAGAATAAAAAAGTGTTCTACCATTGCCCACATACATACCACAAATTGGATTCTAGAAGAAAAAAACGAATATAAAATACCATTCATGCTAAGTTTCCTTGATTAAATTTTACTTAGTTAGGGGAAACGGATGATGCCCTCCCAGCTCTTAAACCATGGTCTCTCTATATATACACACACACATTGGTTGGATGACCACCATAGGGATGGAGTGATGAGAGCAGGTCATGCGAAGAGCTGAGACGGATAGTAGCATCGCAGGAGCACGAGGGATGTGCCAACTATGTCAGGAGTCCATCATCCAGCAAATGATTGATTGGCTGCACGTGAAGATGGCAATGATGAAAACCTTGCAAATAAAACTAGACGATGATGAGCAAGCCTTACGCCAGCACATTCTGCTTCCGAAGCACCCAGAAGCACACTCCATCATCACGCATGTATTGGTCTGATGTGTCTGTGAGATCACAAGGGTTGAATGTACAGCCTCTCGGGCATAAAGGCAGTTGCCTTCTCCCCCAACAACATCCCCTGCTGGCTCTCCTTTCCATTCCATTCAGCCGAGCTTCCAGATAACAGCGGCAGACTGCACTGAAAGCTGCAGCCCCAATGGGAGAAAACCATCGCGCTTGCTTCCAAGAAACATCAAGTGGGAGCATTGTGCAAAGCGAAGCAAAGGAAAACTGCACTCCTAACTTGAAATCAGGTAAAAGGCGCAGCGCTGAATGGTATTGCCCAAGCCGCTGCTGATGGAAGGGCTTCCACTAGCAGGAGCTCCAGGTATGTTTAGCATTCTCTTCCACGCTCGCCAGCACGTGTTGGAAGAGGAGTTGGGGGGGGGGAGTACCCAAACTTTTCACCTCGCCGCATGCGACCTGCAGATCGACTGCGGTGGACACATTTATACCGCTGGCTGGACAGGGCCCGGGGTGGGGGGGGGGGGTGAAGAAACGTGCGCAATGATGGTTCGACTATCGCGCTGCCATGAAATCGCATTGCACCGGCGAACTCGCAATGAAACGTGGAGTGCGCGGACCATTTACACCCCCCACGGCACCGTCGCGTGGAAAATCCGGAACACGTATCAATCAAACGCCGGTGCAGAAAATGTACTATTCCTACAACTCTGTCACGTGTGCTATGCAAATGTAATGGTTAGTTTGAAATGTGACCTCGACAAAAGCGAAAATGTGGCTCGGTATTAAGCAATGATGTCCTGGCAGGGCACCGACACTCGCAAATGAAAATGAATCGTTCAGGAACTCCGAGTGGTGTGTTTTGAAACCCTATATGGATTTTGTAAAGGCTGAAGGGAGAGGTGTGGTGGTTTTGTGCCACTGCCTCCACCAAAACATCCTGCAAAACATCGTGAAAGGCAATCCGGTAAGTAATTAATGTTCCCTTGCAGACAAACTGGGAATGTAACTCAACGGGAAGTGCATGGGTTGGATCCCAAATCGGTCCGAATATAAAAATTCGAGAACAACTCATTTCTGATATAATGTTCATTTGGAACTATTGATATTTTGTAAGTGCGCTGGAACTCCTCTTGACTGCAGTGACCTTAGAATTGAACAGCATGGATCCTCAAAAATATAACTCTCATAATGTATACACTGTCCTTGAAAGTGCGCCTTTTGGCGTCATCTGGTCCAACACCAATGGAGACTAGGCTCTAAGAAAAGCTGTCTCGGGTGTGGACCAATCAACTTCAAGGACAGTGCATATCATTATTATCATCATCACAGTTGTTTCTTTTTTGTTTGCATTTTGACTGCTTGTGTTGTGGTTATTGCAAACATGATGCCTTGTATAAAGTTGTCAGTTTTTGTACCAGTTGAAAGGGTAAAAACCTATTACTATATTTTGCCACTGGTAAAGGAGGTCTCAGTGTAAATGCTTACCCCGAGCTCTCAATACTCTGATAGTGCGCTGTTTTTGAGTTGTACACCTTTTGGCGTCATCTGGTCCAACACCAATGGAGACTAGGCTCTAAGAAAAGCTGTCTCGGGTGTGGACCAATCAACTTCAAGGACAGTGCATATCATTATTATCATCATCACAGTTGTTTCTTTTTTGTTTGCATTTTGACTGCTTGTGTTGTGGTTATTGCAAACATGATGCCTTGTATAAAGGTGTCAGTTTTTGTACAGTTGAAAGGGTAAAAACCTATTACTACTAGCATGGATTCTATTGTCCGTGATGTTATCTGCGAATTGACGCCACATGCGCAAAACAAAATCACGGATAATTGCAGATAAGAGGAAGAATAGGGGCGTGCGACTAATCGGATTTCGTGTGTCCCATCGGATAATAGTAATCGCGGGCAATAGAGCCGCAGAATAGAGACGTTCAACAGTTAACGCTTCTCTATTTGGCCACGTTGCAGAAGCATTTGTAGTCAGACACACAACAAAACCATGGTAAATATTTGCTTGCAAAAAAAGGAGAAAAATGTTTAGCGTCTTCATTTTGTGCTCCACACACAGCCGTCACATTGACTGAACTTCGATTTAAAGCTTTCGTGACTGCAGGGATTCATCTTCTTGGTTCTTTCGGTAAAATAACGTAGCATGGAAATTATAAAATCATAAAAATACAATATAATAAAATAATTGTAATTGTATTATTTTATTATTTTCATTCTACGTGACTTTACCGAAAGAACCAAGAAGATTGACTGAGCTCTTTCCCTGCAAGGCAAACCGGTTGCATTCGTGAACGGCTATGCACCGCCTTTGCGCGTCTTGCCACGGCCGTTTGCGGTAGTCAGTTCAGTTGCAAGTGCGCTGTCTTGCTTGACGACTTCGTATCCCAGCAAAGTTTAAACATATCCGGACAACCTTTCAGAGCTTAAACAACCCCCCCCCCAACCGCCGCCCCCCCCCCCCGATTCGACTGAAACGCTGGTCACTGACAGCGACAATGTAGAAGGGTGTTTCGATTTAAAGCTTTCGTGACTGCAGGGATTCACCTTCTTGGTTCTTTCGGTAAAGTTACGTAGAATGGAAATAATAAAATAATAAAAATAAAACATAATAAAATAATTCTCACGACGTTTCGGCCACAACGCAAGCAGCCGTCATCAGGTGGAGAACAGGTCTGTCGAGAAGACAGATAATTATTTAATTATGTTTTATTTTTATTATTTTATTATTTCCATTCTACGTGACTTTACCGAAAGAACCAAAAAAATGTAGAAGTGTGTTTAACCAAATCGCGCAGGAATGCTTGAACGCCGCGCACATGCAGTAGCATCGATGCATTAAGAAAAACGAAATCGCGTCTGTCCTCGTAGTCACTCGACCTTTAAAAGCCGTTAAGTCCACATATCCTCGCAGTCAACGCTAAGCAAACACGACGAAGAATTTCCCGCAACCTCTGACTGGTTCGGCAGTGATCCTCGCACAAAAAGGGGGGGGGGGAGGGGGGGTGTGGACATCTCACCCAGTGCGCTTTCAGGGCAGACACTCAAAGATGGCACCCAGAGTTAATCTTATTCTTCACATTTGTAAAAGAAAATAAACGTATCTATGGGATCCTTTTTTGTTGTTGCCAGTACCAAAATGAGGAAGAAAAACTATAGTAGGCTGTTTCGCCCTTTCTGATCATACAACAGGAGGTGTTAAGTTGTTTAAGCACCAAAATCGATACTTGCTGCAAGGCGTCTGCATTAACCACACATGTGAATGCACGCATTATCAGGGCATGTTTGTTTAAGCGTTGTTCCGCAAGTATTTGCGGTTAATGCAGAATTGATACCTTGCGAAAGTATATCTATTGGATGTTTGCACACCTTAACGCCGGTTTTATTGACAGAAGCCTATTCTTAAATTTTAAACGTGTTTTTTTTTTACTGAGGCTTCTGGGTTTGGTGAACATTATAATGGCGTCCCTATGCCCCTACCCCATTGAAAACCCAGCCGCTCTGTCTGGGGAAGTAGAATTGCAGTTTATTGTTATGTTGTAATGTCGCGGCTACGCATGAGATTTTTCGGTAAAATTTGCGGGGGGGAAAAAATACGAGATGGTATCGTATCGCGCGTATGAGATTGTTTGACACATCTGGCAAGGTGAATGTTGAAAGTGAAGTAAACCATTGAATGGAGTTTACACTTAAACAGCAAGACGTTGACAACGTTGTTGATACTGGATGAAGGTTGTCATTGACGGAGATATCATGAAGATACCAAAGCTATGTTTCAAGATATTGTTTTAAATGTCATGAATTCGCCAATGTCATACAGTGAGGACCACCCCCTCCCCCCAGCCCCCCACTCACCAAACACAACACAGAAAAACATTGAAAATGATCATCTTGGCACATAATTTATTTACAAATGTAACTTGACTGCAAATTAAACAGACGTAATAATCCATCTGGTTCAGGAGAAACTGCTTACATTTAAAATCATTATTCAAAAAGTAAAGATCATTTATCATCAATGGTCTAAATAAACCACTCGGCATTCTGATGCAATGCAGTAAGGCATTTTCAGTAAGATGTTTTTTTTGCTTGATATACTGTATAATATATACTATTTTATAGTCTAAAAGTGGTTTCATGGTAATATGCATTTCTATATTGCTGGTTTTATTGCTCGTTTTAAATTATTGATAAAGGCCACAATGAGAATTTTGGATGCCTGCATAGAAATATGTTCACGATGCTTAGTACACCACGGAGTGTGGCGTCTTTTGGTGTGTACAAAGGTAAAGGTGCAGCCCTGCAATGGTCTGCTCACGCCACTGCTGGCAGAAGGGCCTCCAACCAGAGGGGAATCGAGAAAAGCCCCCTCGAGAAAATTATCTTGTGCTTAGCAGTTAATACATTGTGTATGAGGTTTACAACATCTTTAACAACACCCACGAGTTATGAAATAATCCTTCAAATTGCCTAAGCAAAATACTTCAGTTAAACAAATGCACAAAAAAGGACACTATTGACATATTTCTTCCTTGCTTTTCCAGAAAATGCAATATCTTAATATATCTCGCTTTAGTAAAATAAATACAGATATAGCTATAAACATTAAACATCTGTATAGAATTACAAGTCGTATATTATTATTTTGTACACGCGCGTTCGGGGGCACAGGGATATCATAGCTATGTTTCAAGATATTAAAACATAGCTGAAGGGGCAAGACGGCCCTGGCTTGATTGTCGGCATGCCAACATTAGTGCACTAATTTGCCAATAAAACACATTCGGGGAGAATCTATGTTGAGGATTTGGGAGCTTTTGATGCTCAGTCTCCTCGACAGACACCTCAGGTGCCTCTGCCCACACACATGCTCCATCGGGAACTGCGGACATTTGTAAAATATATAACTCCCGCGTGGGTTTTCGCAGCTGTACTTGTGCATCTCTCTCCGATGTGTTGTTCGGGTCGTGCCGCGTGTTGTTCGGCACGTCCGACGTTTCTGTCCACGTCACGGGCAGCTTATCCAGGAAGGATAGCTTGTGCGGCTGTCAGTGAGTCCTGGGATTGTCGTTTTACGAACGACTCTCCATATTTCAGTGATGTTAAAACGTAGCCTGATCTTTTTTCCCCCAGCGCTTAAAAAAAAAGACCCCAACTGAAATGCTGGCACTGACAGTAACAAGGTAATAGTATGTTTTGGAACAAGCTCCCAGCAATGGGATTAAGTTGCTGAAGAAGCTCCCAGAACGTGGACCGAAACTTCGGACGTCGTGCCGTATAACCCAACAGCACATCGGCAACTTGTGCAATATAATATATAACCGGCGGTGTTGTTTTTCATTCTCGGCACCATTTGGTTTGCTTTTGCTCACAACAGCTTGTAAAATTCTACAGGAATCCTCATTTAATTAACTTTTAAAAGATTATTTTATTCTTTACGAAAGTGGAACAAAACGTTAAGGAGTTCTGAGAATAACACGTGTGATTTTTTTTTGTATATTTATGGTCCTGTAGGATTTTGCGAGCTTGGTATAATAATAAAAAAAATGTTTGAAAGGGGATTTTTGCAACATACAAGGGTGGTTCAAGGTGAAACTGAACTTAAGTTTTAGAAAGTTTTAAAGTAAAGTGAAGTCTAACGCTTGTCCTATATTTCAAAGCAATCCCCTGATACACACACGTATTTGTCCCACCGGTGTTATAATGCCTTCATGCCAGAGGCATAGAATCATTTAGGTCAGACATGCAGCCATTTCAGGACATGTGCTTTCACATATTTTCCATTTTGTGCAGACTCTCATTAAACCTTTTTGCACTGCTCAAATGCGGTGTTGCGCGAGAGACACGCATCACCGATCTGTAGGGCAAACCTACTGCTGCACATTTCAGCTCTTTTTACAGCCTTCTTCACTAGAAACTTCATTATGCAATGCCGTTCCACAGCCCATAGTAGACTGGTCGCTGCCATCTTGAAAACACCCAGACTCCTTTGCACAGCTGTGATGTCACTTCGCGGAGAAGTTGCCAGATATTACCTGTACCACTCTAAAACTTTCAGTGATGATCTGTCATTCTTTCACAACAATTCACAACTTAAAGTGCAGGTTAACCTTAAACCACCATCATACATATTTCTAAAGCATTTTTAAAAACAAATCTGATTCAGCACTGCATTGAGAAGAATAAACATGCACCAATTGAATTATAATCGTATGCTCTACAAATGTGATTACTTTGGAAGATAACACATAACACGTTTTCAATAAGAAATGTAAGTAGGGTGGCTCAGAAACCCCTTTTGCTCTCAAAACATATAAACCCATTCATAGTAAATACTTTTCTGTACAAAATCAACTTTTTATAGCCTTTGAAATGATGCCGTTGACACAGCTACGCCTGAGCCTCAGATTTAAGACACACTCGAATGTAAGACAACTTCTGCAGGTGCTTTCTTTTTATTTTAAATCCTCTGTTGCCATTTTTACAAATCCAGTTTTAAGCGCAACACTTCCCAATCTGCGCTCTGAAACCTCAACACATTTCCCAGCAGCGCAGCTCAGAAGTGCCTTCCACTCGGGGGAACGAGCGAGCAAATTACGACGCAGTCCGAGGTATGCGACGCCACGTTCCTTCAAAGCACTCCTTCGCTGCTTTTTATGGGCGAGCGAACGAGTGAGCGCACGAGCGCCCAATTACACATGCGTGGCCCCTTTCCCAACAAATTCGGGTCGCTTCTACTCGCCCGCTCCCCTCTCTCGCTTAATCGCCGGGTCCCCTATTTCCACGGGGGACTCGGAGTCAAGTGCGCTCTGCCAGTGTGCCCTTCTCACAAGCAGGGGCATTGATGCTTCATATCGGGGGGGACCATCTGAACACCAAGACGGCTGCCCGCTCCCTTTTGTGTCTCATGGCGAGAAAAGGAGCGGATAAATAAATATATAAACGGAGGGGGGGCGGGGTGGGGGGGAATTTCTATGCCCCAGAACTCTTGAAAGGGAAATGTCTAGAATTGTGATCCCAACGACCACGGGCTAAAGACAAGGGCATTCTTCTTAGAATGAAAGAGAGAAGCAGAGTGAGGTTGAGAAAATGCGTGGCTTTTTTTTTGCTTTCTTTTTTTTGCTTTGTTGGCATCGTCAGTGTTGAATTCCCTTTTTGGGGTAGAGGTTTTTATTTACCTGACTCAGCCAAGGCGGCGACACTCAAAGGCGCTGGCTGCTTAGTGAAGGAAGTCTTGTATTTTTAAAGGCAAATGGCAGTGAGAGGCAAAATCCACAGTCTCCTTGTCTCGCAAAACATTTGAAATGCTTTGAATTGGATTGTCATCAGCAGACTCTCTTCGTGTCCAAAACCATGAGTCGAACAAGAGCGACGTTGTCCATAATGCAGGTGATGCTTGTTGGTTCACGTTAGAAGCAAAACAACTACATTTGTTTTATCCATCTCTTGCTTGAAAGTAATAAAATTGCTTCGTATGATGAATTGCTGGAAAAAAAAACTTTTTCACGCCGTGATAAGTGCCAGTTGCTACGTTTTTTTGTTTAACCTTCATATGCTTTTCTGTTATTTTATGCCATTAATCAGAATCCGTGATCTATGACTGTATTTTCATTTGTCTGAAAACGTTTTTGAAATGAAGCCGAGAAAAGTGAATATATCAACAGCTATATTTTCTCTAAGTCAATTAAGTGAACACCATTCCACTGCTGTGTATATAATAGGCGTGCTAATGCATGCCCATGTGTGTCTGTGCGCGCGCGTGTGTGTTGACCCATCTACTCCAGCGAGCCGTATTATTTTCCTAACAGCTGTCCGTACTGGCGAGCGGTTGAATTTTGCCCATGAGTTGGTGCGGAGCGAGTGTTTACGCGATCGCTCTCAGAACGGCACCACGAGACAAGGTCCCCCAAGCCCCTCCGCATGTCTGCAATTAGCGCAACTGTTCCCAAAAAATAAACAAGTGCCGATTTACCCCGTCGCCTTGCGAGGTGCGAATAGTGCTACCGCGTGAGCGTGCGGGCCAAAGTGTTGTTTTAAGAACTCGTTCTTTGTTTAAATATCGGTACAGCAGAACCATTTGTTTTTGACGATTTTGTTCTTTTTGTGCCACGTTTGTAGGACCAAAAAAACGTTCCAAGCCAGATCAAGTTGCCGTGTGGGTAGGACGAGTGTTGAATCAGGGATGCAATTGTTTTACTTTGAACCAGCAGGGAAATCCTTGGTGTACTGTACTGTAATATACCCGAATTTCCATGCTCACCCCCTTCAACAGGCTGCACTGACCAGCGTGGTCAAGTATAGTCAAATAACCCCCACAAACCACATGCTGTGCAAAGGCACTCTTCCAGCAGTGGACTGACACATGGGCTGTACTTGTATACGCTCTGTTGATATTAGTTCTGGGTTTAAATGAGGACAGGTGATTGTCCGTCTAAGTTAGCAAGTGTGTACGCACACTGTCTATGGCTGTGCACCTCAGTGGAAACTGATTCCTTTCCTGGCACGACCCTCCCCTAGGTCAACTCAGCCTAATAATGACAACCCTGGTAGCCACACGTGGTGCTCTTGCCAGCATCGCTTTCTTTGCCATAATAGGCGCTCGCTTGCAGCTCTTGCCCCGACAATTCAAACAGTCTAAAATGAGGCTCTTTGTCTGAGCGTACACGTGTTTGTGCGTGCGCCCGTGCGTGTGCCTGGCAAGTGATGCTACGGTGGTCAGCTCACCGTACCACCCATTTGTGACTCCTCAACATAAATCATTGGCACTTTATATCAGGATCTAGGTGAACTCGGCGTGAGAATGAACACAGAGCCGTGTGCGCAGGTGGGCAGGAAAAGGGGCAGTGTGCAAGCGGTGCTAGCCACACCACTCTGAACGAAGTGTGCTGGCCACACCTCGTTCGTCACCCTGGCCATAACGGGCGATCGCTAATGACACTTTCCCCAGCTTTCAACACGGGCCGAGAAGATTGGGGGACGATCTCCGCTGTTGCTGTTATTATTATTGTTATCTTAATGTATCCGGTGCTTGCGCGGGTGCTCGTGAACCTCAATTCTCAGTTCATGGCAGTCGTCAGCTGGCTCCTTCCACGCAGCACTAGCACTGGTAGTAGGTGTAGTGGTGCTGGTGCACCTTCCCTTCCACGTGCGTGTGCGTATGCGTGTGTAGCACGTCCGCCCCTACGCCGCCGCCCCCGGCCGCCTTGCCGTGTCCGCCCCGGCCCAGCGTGTGGGCCTTGCTCGAGTGCGCAGGCACCAGCACGTGGTGGTAGTGCTGGTGGTGCGGCGGCACGAGAGGCGCCGCGTGCAGCCCCAAGCCGAGGGGCTGCAGGGAGCCGGGCACCGGCGGCAGGCAGGGAGACGGAGGTGCAAGCTTGGTGAGGTCTTCGTGCGCCGCGGCCGCCGCGGCCGCCGCGGCCGCTTTCTTCTCGGGCGCGCGGTCGCGCTGGAAGCGCCCGGACGATGTGGCGGATGACGATGCGCCGACGTTGCCGCCGCCGCCGGCTGCTGCGCCGTCCTCGGCGTCCACTCCGTAGGCCTTGGGCTTGCGGCTCTGGCAGAGCCACAGGAGCACGGAGCCCACGATGAAGAAGGCGCCGGCGGGGATCCCCACGATCACCGGCCACGGCAGCGAGCCGGCCGGGCGTGGGCTCGGTGGGGCGGGGTGCCGGCTTGGGTCTGATGGGGACGGACACGGACGGACACACAGACGCACGCGCACACGCGTGCTGTGAGAAAGGGAATTGTAATGCGCTTTTGCGCGTGTTAATAATTGCTTTAAAATTGATTGTTATGCTCATCATAGACAGGACAAGAAAATAATGTAAGAGAAGTAAGATGGAGATGTGGGGTAGGTGCGGTGATATGAGCAAAAGGCAAGGGATAGTGTGGTGATGAAGGATAGAAGATATGCATGACGGGCAATTGCCCCCTCCAAATTTTTGTAATCTGATGAACACTAACTCTGGATCTAGATTTAATGTAGATACATATCATATATTAGATTGCGGACGCCGCTCGCTCTGTCAACGCTGAGCCAGCTGGCCACCTGGCCGGATCACCGGTGATTGTTTTGGTCGGTGGTCGGGGTGTGGCGGCGGCATTGGCGATTGTTGGCAATGACAGCAGCGGCGGCAGCGGCGGTATTTGCCGAGGCCGACGTACCGGGCTGCACGGTGAGGAAGGCGCTGCGGAAGCTGTATCCCATGGTGTTGGCGCCCAGGCAGATGTACATGCCGGCGTCCTCCGCGCGGGCTCGCGCGATCACCAGCTTGTTGAGGAAGGAGCCGTCGGGGCGCGACCACACATCTCCCGCGGGTAGCACCACGAAGCGCTGGCCGCCCACGTCGAGCGTGGCGTTGTGGTGGCGCTCCGACCCGGGCTCGACACGCTTGAGCCACTGCACGACAGGCCGTACGTCGCTGCGCACCTTGCACTGCAGCGAGGTGGTGCCGCCCATCTCCACTGTGGTGTTCACCGGGTGAGTGCCCGTCAGCACTGGCTTGGAGCGCAGGCGCTCTGCGGATGATGTGCCGGATTTGGGTGCGTGGGGGGGGGGGGGCGGTGGTGGTGGTGCGAACAACGGGGAAAGGAGAAATTATGAAAGGATAATTGAGCGTCAACGTCGAGGTAGAAGTGCAACGGTTAGCGCGCTGCGCTATGAACCCCGCGGGACGAGTTCGACTCCCGCTCACGGCCAACACCAGTGACGATTATCTGAATCGGTTCTGGGCCCCCCTAGGTCGACTCAGCCGCAAATTACTACCTGGTGCGGTGTCTAATCATCACCACTAGGGAAACAAAGGCGGCCGGGCGTGGTGCTGGCCACCCACTCCCTCGTATGGTGTGCCAGCCTTTATAGGTGCGAACAATGGGAAAGGAGGAAATTATAAATATTAATTGAGTCAACGTCGAGGTACCCGTTATAGAAGTGTGTACATACAATATTTTAGTCTATAAATGTATGTGTGTGTATATGTGTAATTAATAATCGATTTTCGGGTTAGGCTATGCAATAAGCTAGCCATTTTTTTCGTCGTGAAACCATTTCACCAACCAACGGCCTAACAGATTATATCGTCACGTTTATCAGTAATTTTTTAAAGAGATGTATATTTCTTCCAAACACAGACAGAAACGTTTCACCACCAGCAACAAACAGGACACACTATAAAAGTAGTAATACAACAAATATTCGGCTGTACCCTTGCTAACAATGAAGCATGTATAACTTCAACCCAAGCTCTTCATGCCCTGATGCTTGCATTGTCTTCGTGCTGTTCGCTTTTTGTCATTCTATGGTCTAAGACTGGTTGAGACTAGGCCATAAAGAAGGCTTTCTCTGGTGTAGGCCAATCAGTTTCAAATACAATGCATTTATTATTAGAGCAAGCTTGTTTGTGTGCATGTTTTGCCACAAGTTCGCATGGTTAATGCAGGCTTGATGCCTTGCAAAAGGTTTCTATTTAAAAATCTAAACATCTGTTTTATTTCCAGAAAGGGTAAAGTCAATTCTTATATATATATTCCATCATTTTGATACTGGCAACAACGTCGCATAAAGTAGTAATAGATAAGAGTTAACACGTTGCTTTTAATTGAGCGAGGTGATACGAGCTCGGGGGAAGCAAAGAGATGACGGAAGGAAATTCCAAAGTGGTGCTGGTGCTGGAACACCGTGAGTCGAAACAGGCAGTCTCGTACACCGGACCCTTAACTTGGGTGCAGGAATGAACGAGTGAGGTTCTTTGGGAACAGGAACCATGGGAATGGGTGATATTGATGCACTTTCCGGATTCATCAGCACTGCCTTCTGTTACCCCTGGCAATACCAGCACACTGCCTTCTGTTACGGGTCCAGTGCCAGTGATGTGTGTTCCAGGCTTTCTAACACGAGTCAGAGGCTTCGTTGATTATAATAAAATACTTGCAAATTGCACCCATGCATTCCATCACAGCACTCTGGTGATATCACGATGTCGATGCTATTTTAAGATGCCTATTAGAGTGCTGCAACGATGTCTTTAACCATAACTTTAATGGCCTTGGTGAGAGAAATAAGCTCGCCCCCACCACCGTCCGTTTTTTTTCATGATCTCGTAACATCTTGGGGGCATTGTGTTGACCCGTCACGAAAATGTAAGCGAGTGATCTTGGGCAGGGCACATTGTCATTGCTATCAGGCACGATGGCGGACGGATGAGACCGATTTACGGAATGGTAGACTAAGGAGAGGAAGGGACATTCGCGGATGAACACCGTGGAGATAAAGCGATGTGGGATCAGCTCGGGTGAATGATGCGATGGCAATGAGAAAGCATCATCCAGCAGACGCTGTCTCCCCGACAGACCTGGTCTTCACCTGAGGACGGCTGCTTGCGTTGTGGCCGAAACGTCGTGAGAATGATCTTATTATGTTTTATTTTTATTATTTTATTATTTCCATTCTACGTGACTTTACCGAAAGAACCAAGAAGATGACATCATCCAGCAGTGAAATAGGCACACACAAAAAGTCAGATTGCCGTGGCGATTTCATATGTGCTCTATATATGAAATATTACATTTTAACATTTAGATAACTTTACTGTAACGTTACCTAAGGAATGTTGTGTTTATATATATATATAAAAAAGGTTATATTTAATTATTTTCCATATCCTCTGTTACGCCCAGCACAGTTGGATACATTTTGGCGTTCCATTTTTATTATTTTTCTGGGCAAAGAGAGAGAGAGAGCGAGTGAGAGAGAGAGAGTGTGGAGGCTGGTAAGTTGTGGGGGAGAGATTAAGGGGTGCAATAAACGACTCAACAGACAAATCAATTATCCTTTAGTTGCGCTCCGTTTTATGGACATCCAGAAGACGCTATGGACTGAACTGCAGATTATACACTCCGTACTGCGGACTATGCATTCCAGTACTAGATTATGTATATGTGCAGCTTTTAGTCAGTCCACTACTGTATGAAGGCCTCCCCCCGCCTGCTGCCATGTTAGTAACGAGGGTCGTTTGACCATATTTCACCATGCTGGTTAGCAGAGGTGTGGACTCGAGTCATGTGACTTGGACTCGAGTCAGACTCGAGTCATGAATTTGATGACTTCAGACTCGACTCGGCAAAATGTACAAAGACTTGCAACTCGACTTGGACTTGCATAACAATGACTTTGTCCCACCTCTGAGGTGTGGACTCGAGTCATGTGACTTGGACTCGAGTCAGACTCGAGTCATGAATTTGATGACATTCAGACTCGACTCGGCAAAATGTACAAAGACTTGCAACTCGACTTGGACTTGCATAACAATGACTTTGTCCCACCTCTGCTGGTTAGTGCAGGTCGGTGAGGGGTGGGGCAGGACCGCTGAAATATCACAAACCACTGATTAGCCGTGGCCAGCAATGGAAACTCGGGGTCACCTGGTTTGTAGCACAATGTGCCAACCACTTCGCCGCCAATCAAGGCCACTGTGTACCGCTGTGTTAGTTAGGAAGAACTTTCGCGAAACGAGCCAGATGAGAGGCAGTTTACAAGCGTGGTGTCCTCTCCCACTGTTTTCTGTTGGGGGGGGGGGGTGTTGTAATGATTCACTGTTTCTCACCATGTAGTGAATATGTCATGGTCGTGATTTGATTCAAGAACCGATGATGTTTTGTTTGTTTGTTTAATACTGGCCAAGATAACGACATCTAGTAGCTGCAGGCAACACGTGTACCGATTACATATGACATATATGAATACATAACATATTTAAAAATACTTTTTTAAAAAACACGCTTTAATGAAATGTACTGTCCGAGCTGCCCCTCCCCCATCGCCCATCCCCTCCTTCCACCTCCCCCGCCCCTGGGCGTGGCTCCCCGTGGCTTGCTGTGACGTAGGGGACCACGTGGTGATTTACAGGCAACGTGAGTTGAGCGTCGACAATTAGAGCCGTAAAAAAATATTGTAAAAAATATATATTTCTAATTTTCAATGATAGAATATAGTATTGTCATCAGTATGACATACCTATACCAAGTTTGCAGTCGATACGACATTGGGAATACGGTTGAAATTGAGTTACATGATTTTAGGATACAACACACAGAGTAAGTTAAATAAAAGCGTGTAAAATGTTAAAAAATATATGTTTTGGTTTTTTTTATGATAGAATATAGTGTTGTCATTAGTATGACATAGGTATTTCAAGTTAGCAGTCGATAGCACATTGGGAAGTGGGTAAAAATTGAGTTACAAGATTTCTTTTTTGAGAATACAACAGACGGAGTGAGTTAAATAAGTAATAATAAAAGCGTGTAAAGAACACACATTCATTGTTAATGCTTGTTGTAGCATACAGGGTCCGAATCTTGCAGCGAGAGAGCTCTTGTGAACAACATCTGGTGACACAGGAATGTTTGCTTAACTAGACTTACTGTTGATGAGACCCAAAATGTCAAAACCGCTTGCGTTTTAACTTGTTTCAACAATTTATGCTGGATAATATTCGTATGAAAATACCATATGCTGATAAATGAAAACATATTTGTGCATATATAGTTATTACGGTATTTTATTCGAATGTATCTGCGAGTTATTTTCAAATTAGCAACTCGAGCTATGAATTTGGCACACAAATGGCCCAATATTAAAGTAAAATACTTGTCCATTAATAGCTGAACCGGTGGAAGTATGGTGATTATGAAGCGAGATTAAGCCTGGTTCTAATTTATAACTAAAAGCATATACATGAACATTATTAATGCCCTCTTATTTGAGATACATTGGCCCAAGAATGTCCTGTTGGTAATCTTTTGGGAAATCACACACGACAAGGAATGCTCGTTCTCGATTCTCCCCCCAAAACGACTTTCCCTACAAAAAACAACAGTTATTGGGCACGCGATTGGGGTCGTGGGTGGTGGTGGTGGGTGGTGGTGGTGGTGGGTGGTGGTGGGTGGGTGGTGTTGGTGGGTGGTGGTGGGTGGTGGTGGCTGGTGGTGCCTGGTGGCTGGTGGTGGTGGGTGGTGGTGGCTGGTGGTGGTGGCTGGTGGTGGTGGCGGGTGGTGGTGGCGGGTGGTGGTGGCTGGTGGTGGTGGCTGGTGGTGGGTGGTGGTGGTGGCTGGTGGTGGTGGCTGGTGGTGGTGGCTGGTGGTGGTGGGTGGTGGTGGTGGTGGGTGGTGGTGGTGGTGGGTGGTGGTGGCTGTTGAGCAGTGCTGCTATGGTGGTGCTGGCTGGGTAGTTCTGGGTGGTACGGTGTGATGCTGGATGGTTGTGGAAGGTCCTGTGCAGTGCTGGGTCCTGTTGTGTGGTGCTAGGCGGTGTGGAGTGGCTCTGAGATCGTGTTGGGTGATACTGGCTGGTTCCATGTGGTGCTGGGTGGTTGCTGTGTGCCACTGACTAGTGCCGCGTGTGCTGTGGAGGGGGGTTTTGGTTGGAGTTGGGTGCCGTGAAGGGCTGCTGCTTCTGGTCGTAGTGGTGGTGGGTGTGAGGTTAGCGCTGATAAATGGAGTCTTGTTCTGCCGAGAGCCGGGCATTCGTATTGCGGTGCCGCGTTTCCCACAAGCCCCTTCCTGGAGGCAAAATCCCCCCGGCTTGGCCCGTGGCAGCAGCTGTGCAAGGCGGCTGTGCCCAGCAGCTGGGAGCGCCGCGGAATGATTTAAACTCGACCCTCGCTTCCCAACACGCATGTGTGTGCGTGTGTGCACGTGTGAGCATGCGCGCACGTGCATTTGGGGAAGCGGTAGTGTAGTGGTTACGAGCGCGCTGCGCTACGAACGCGGCAACACGAGTTTGATTTCCGCTCACGGCCAACACCGGTGACAATAATTTGAACCGGTCCTGGGCCTCTCCGAGGTCGACTCAGCCTCAAATGAGTACCTGGTGCGGTGTGAAAACCTCGCCGCCGGGTGTGGTGTTGGTGACCCACCCCCTCGCGTGACGTGCCGGCCTTCAGAGGTACCACTCGCTAACAGGACTTGCCCGAACAATCTGTTCAAGGCTATGCGGTGGATCTTTGTCTTAGTTGTTTTGCGTGTGTGCACGTGCGTGTGCGCTCATAGTACGTGTAAGATTAGTAAGCGCAATGGGTCCAATGCACCATACTTATAGTCAAATGAGAGTGATTTTCATATATGTAATGACTCGCCTCCTATCCCAGTGATTTGATGAATTACCACTATGAAATGAGATTTCGTTAATTGTTACTATTCACAGACCCGTGCAGGAATTAACATTTTCTCTCTCATTTGTACTCTCCCGATGTGTATTGTTTCTGGCACTTTCTACCTTGCTTGTACATTTCATTGTCACAATCCAATAGGAATGCGTTTGTATGAAAGCAAAGAGGCACGTGGGAAATTCATTCTTTCCACCCTCATCTCCTTGAACTTCCGTGAATTGTCACTCTTCGTTATTTGGGACCGATATTCGATGCAATATATATTAGCAAAAAATACAAATCTCTTAGAACATCCAATTTGGTTTGCTTAGTTTTTTCACGGTCGTTGTATGTCAACCCACCTTTGGTGCGAGACCTTGTTCGCTCAATTAGCCTAAACGCAGTCTCGGCATATAACGTCCATGCAATTTGCATAGATTGTAAACCATCGATTCTCACATGCGCAATTCGATGGGCGTTTCGTGAGCATTGGGTAAATAATTTCAGTCGGATCAATTGACTGCATTGTTTGTGCGACTGCAATCTAAACGCGTGCGTTGTGCTGCACCCAACAAAAAACGCACGTACACAGGCCGCTGGGCCGGACAGTTTCATAAACACTGCCCGGAAAAATCCTCCCCCACCCCCCCATCACCTGTTACAACCTTGAGACACCTTTTAGCAAGAACCACGTGCAGTGTGTGTGAGAGAGAGAGAGAGTGAGCGCGTGATGCCATTGTTCTAAAGAAAGAAACGGTGACGAGTAAGTACACGGCCCTTTTTCACAAACACCCTGCTATGACTAATTGCGTTCACGGAAGATGACGGATAGTGATTGATTGTGGAGACAAGTGACATATACGCGGAGGGAAAAAAATGTAATTGACAGGCCTGAAGGGAACATGCCCCTTAATTGTGGAGGTCATGACCCCTTTAATGTGACCCCCCCCCCCCACACCCCCTCCAAACCCTATGACGAGACAGGGCAACCACTGTTCACATCCAGAGCTCCCCGCAGTTGCATATCAGCTGTGGCAATTACAGAGATAGTTTCTGCAAGTTATCTTTGGTGCCTAAACTGTAATCTCCAGAAATCTGTGCCCTCTGGTCATAATTGCCACAGTTGTGTAACAAAAAAAAAACATCTGGCAGAACAATTCTTACCCTCGTCATCTGCGGTGTTGGAGCATTAGTGGAGCTCCCTATCAGCACTACTGCAGTGTGACACGATATATTTTGTTGGCACAGAGCAGAGGTCGCAACCGGGTACCCGATACCCGTACCCTACCCGATACCCAGCTACCTGTACCCGGCCAGGTACGGGTAGCCGTTTGCGACCTTGGTGCGGCCGGGTACGGGTACGGGTAGGCCGTGAGTCACTGGTGAGTAACCGTTTGTCACTCATTTCGGGTAGGGTACCGGTACGGGTAGGGAATGGATACCCGTACCCGGCCGGGTACAGGGTACGGGTAAGGAATCAAAACCCGTTTGCGACCTCTGGCACAGAGAGGTCGCACTACACGTTGAGTATCGCAAGAAGTTTGTGCATATTTGTTTACATGGATACGGTGTCTGTATTGTAATAATCCACCTTATCCGTGCGGTTTGTCCTTTTTATTTTGTCTGCACTAGTTATAATTCTCGGATTATTTCCACCGTACCATGTCTCCCATGGCAAAGAACCACACTGTGGATTACATTTACCTGGCTCTCACGCAGTGCCAGTGTTAGCAATGCGACAATTCACTCCCTCCGACAAATCCATGAATTGTATTGCAATTCAATGAAGGAATGGTCTCATATTTGCCATCTCGTGTGCATTGTTTTGCCATTTGTTCCGTCTCGTTTGTGAATTTGTATTTAATTGTATCAACCTATTTGCATACATTTCATGACAATAGTAAATCACACGAGTGATGTTGATGCACGCACCGTGAGCGTGGGAATCAATATTAGTTGATAGTTGAATAATCGATGTGTCGCCACGTGTCGTGTCAGTATATACGGAAGCCACACAGCATTTCTGGGAGGCTCACCCTGGGACGCAGTGAGCTCGCAGGCCCTCCGTCTGCCAGACACAGCCACTCGACCAAGCACCCAAGTGGCCTCGCTGTCCTTGACATTGTCCCCACCTAACTGCCCATAGGCCCTGCCTACTCCTCTGCCAACCCCTCCCACTACTCAGGTACCCCCCCCCCCCCACCCATTTTCCCAATGTCACGACTCAAGCACGAAGAGGCCGCGGGACAAAATCACAAAATCCCAATTTTTTAAAATTTCTTACAAACGCTTTTGGCCGACACCGGAATGGCCCCTTCTCTGAAACCACCGCAAATGCCCCATTCAAGCTGGGTCCTTCGGTAGCCCTGAGGCAGGCAGCGTGGTGAGGGGGCAGGGAGAGGTGAGGTGGGGGAGTAACTCACGCACGACATCGACGCGGTACGTGGCGTTGATCTCTCCTGCGGTGTTGAACACGCGGCACGTGTAGCGGCCGCTGTCCTCGGCTCGCAGGCTCTTGAGCGTGAGCGTCCATTGCTGCCGCCTGCCACCCCGGCCAGATGCTGTGCACACAAATACAAAGGGGCCGTCCATAAATGAGGTCACGCACCTAAGGGTGGGGTGGGGTCAGACATTTGTGACGATGTGTGACGAGGAGAGGGTTGAGAAATGTGACGTCACATCAAAATGCGCAACTTTTAATAAATATCGACAACACGTTATACTTAATTAAATAGACGTTTGATTCATGTTTTCTCCTACAACATCAGAGTGCAGCGCCACATTGATACGCACTACAATGACAATAGTTTAAAGCGATTTCAAGCATGTTTTATTTGGGGGGGGGGGGAGGGCAGAGCTTTGTGACGTCATATTTTAGGGGGGGTCTTTTTGTGACGCCGTGTGACGAGGGGGGGAGGTGTAAAAAATCGTCCAAAATTGCGTGACGTCATTTATGGACGGCCCCAAAGACCCCCGCCGTGTAACCTTAACGGACTGTCGGGGGTAAGTGCTGTTAGCGAGCACCGGCCGCCCTTGTCTCCCCAGTGGGGATATTTTTACACAGCGCACCGGGTACTCATTGGAGGCTGAGTCAACCTAGCGGAGGCCCGGGACCGGTTGAGATTATCGTCACTGGTGTTGGCCGTGAGCGGGGGATAATACTCGATTTGAGCGCAGCACGCTAACCGCGACACCACCGCTCTCCATGCACACACACACACATATATAATATCACCCCTGACCTTCCCCTTGTATAACCTTTAGCAGACTGTCAGGGTGCGAGTGCTGTTAGTGAGCACCGAATGAAGGCCCTCAAATGAGTTTGGTTTCTGTGCGTGCGTGTGTGCGTGCGCGCGCGGGGTTAGACTTTAGACCTCATTATTTACTTGGTAGCAAAAAAAAAACACGATAACAACTTCCCAAACGCTCATGTTATATCCATTACATTTCGATAATACTATTTGCCGCCAGCGCAAAAATGTCTCCGTCAGTCCCCCGCGTGTTGCTTGTCCTCGTTTTGCACGGCGGCGAGCAAGAGAAGGCGCGGGGCCACCGATGAATAAACGGATGAATGTGTGCAGAGTACGGCACTGGTTTCACTTTCCTTTAAGTGAAGGCAACTGAGCAATGCACACGTTCACACAAAGATCCCCCCGTAGACTGTCTGGGTGCAGGTGCTGTTCGCGAGCACCGAGCGAAGGGCCCCGCATGGCACACGAGCGGGCGTCGATGGCCAGCAACCATGCCCAGCCACCTTTGTCTCCCCCCGATGCTGATGTTTACACACCACACCAGTTACTCGTTTAAGGCTGAGTCGATCTAGGGGAGGGGCCTAGGAGCAGTTTTAATATTCGCCACACACACAAAGATCCCCCGTATAGCTTTATCAGACTGTAGGGGCAAGTGCTGTTAGCGAGCACTTATAAAGGCCGACACGGCACACGAGGGGGTGGGTGGCCAACACCACGCCCGGCCGCCTTTGTCTCTCTAGTGACGATGTTTACACAGCACCAGGTACTCATTTGAGGCTGAGTCGACCTAGTGGAGGCCTAGGACCGGTTCAGATAATCGTCACTGGGTGTTGGCCGTGAGCTGGAATCGAACCCGGGTCGCCGGGTTTGTAGCGCAGCGCGCTAACCACTACACTACCGCTCCACACACTCACACACACACAGACACACACAACACACGCAACACACACGGGCACACGCAACACACGCACAGTGCATTGACAAAACAGTCGAGCACAGCCTGCTAGCCGTGCCGATCTTATAATAATAATAAACATTGTTTGTTACACTCCGGTCTTTACGACACCCCTCCAGCCGCGATGGTGCATATTTCAACAAATCTTATCTTTTCCCTTTCGGAGGCAAATCAAGCCGTGACACATTGCACACGTCCAATGGTCGGTAATATTAAAATCTCTGTTGCAGACGAAGAGAAAATACTGCACCATCGTGATTAACAAATTATGCTTTATTTTTGCTCTGAAGAAGATAGGAGGCGTCACCTGAAATTGATGGCCAATTCATGCTACTACCTGCATTCACCCTTGTGAAGGATAAATCCACCAATATGTAATTTTCTGGAAAAGCCCATTTCTACTTGTTATGGATATATTTTCAGGGATAAGGGGAATTATCCAGAAGTGTTAGCAAATTCATCATTGTCTCAACTGTGCGGATATCAGGAGGACATTTGTGAGCATAAACATAGACAATAGGAACCGCTCATAGTGCTCTCCAACATCAACGTGGATAAGGAGATTCATTATCAGTGTCGGAATGTAGCTTGCCTTGCAACATGCCATGATGTTGAAAAACAAATACAAAGGCATATTTGTCCCCGTGATATGAGTGTCTCTGTGGGGTGGTGGAGAGTAATGTTTGAAAACCGACATTATACCGACTACACGATCTCGACCAAAATAAACCAATTGTGAATAATAATCATAATATTGGTCGTGAAACCCTAAGTATTCATAAGTGGATAAGTAGAGCTTCAATGTATTGATCCCTGCATTGAATCGTCAGGTCATTGAATTAATTTAATTGTGTAGCGAGCTTTCAACAAAATGTCATGAGCTACGGACAAATTTCCGCAAACGGTGGAATCACTCATACCGGATGTTGGTGGTGATTGGTGTCCGTACTGGTGGTTGTGTGCTGCACGTCACGGGGCGGTGTTTTTGGGTAGTGCTGGTGTCGGTGGAGCAGTGCCGGATTATCCCGGTAGCACAAGTAGCTATCTAGGCTACGGGCCCCACACTTTCAAGGGCCCCGCGCTAAACGCTTTGAAGCCATCAATTCCGATTCGGTGATTCTGCACTTGCTCTATTACTATAGTACTATACTGCCTTCAACTTTTATGAACGACTGGGTGTTTAAGGTTAGCAATTTGTCGTATTATCTGGCTGCATAGCAAATGAAAAAATACAATTACTTGATTATGCAAGTGAAACAATGTGTTTTAATATTTACGTGTTTTTTTTAATTTAGTGCCACCTTTATAACATCATGCTACAGGCTCCACACTAATTCTAGATTTGAAGCTTTCGTGACTGCGAGGATTCATATTCTTAGGTATTTTCGGTAAAGTCACGTAGGTAAAAAAATTAAAATTAATAAAAGTAAAATAAAATAAAAAATAAAATAAAAATCACGACGTTTCGGAGGCAACACAAGCTTCGCACCAGCTTCATACGGCAACTGGTCGCCGCTCCCACCTGCCATGTGAGACGCCGCCGCCGCTGGGGTGGGCCTCGCGATGGGCCGGTCGTCCTTGAGCCACACAATGTCGGGCCTCGGCTCCCCGCTGGCGCTGCACTTGAGTCGCACGGAGCTTCCCGCGGGCCGGGCGAGCACGCGGCGCCGCATGCGCGACGGCTGCGTGAAGCGGGGCTTGGCTGCGTCGTGGGCGGGGGACACACACACACACACGGGGAGCAGTTGGCCATTGAAGACAGAGGAAGAGCTGGCACCCAACCATGGCTATCCTTGTTGGCGCAGGCGCTTCAACAACCAAAGTGTGAGTTCTAGATTTGAAGCTTTCGTGACTGCAAGGATTCATATTCTTAGGTTTTTTTCGGTAAAGTCACGTAGATACAACAAGCGTGCTGTGACGGTTCCACCTGAAGACGGAAGCTTGTGTTGCCTCCGAAACGTCGTGATTTTTATTTTTTTATTTATTTTTTATTTTACTTTCATTACATTTTTTTTTACCTACGTGACTTTACCGAAAAAAACCTAAGAATATGAACCAAAGTGTGGCTTTGACAGGCTGGTTTGCTTGTTGAGCACGTTATTCTCTCAAGGGGTTGCCATGCAGTCCCGTGGGTGATTCAACTCGAGTCAACTCCTGAAGGTGCTTCCGGCAGTGTGCGGTGAAAGTTTGAGAGAAGATGTGCTAAACACGCATGCCAGCCCGGAAGATCGCGCCTGGATGACAAGCGGCTGTGTAAACATGTAAAATTGTTGTAGGTGTTTTTACACGATCCCTTATATACATGTTCGGCAGCCTTTTTGAATTTATGTCGACGCTGTGGTGGTTGCCACGTTTTACGTGAACTAATTGCATACTGCATGTGTACATGTACGCCTCTTTTGTCAATCCACTGCTGGATGAGGTCCAGGAAGCATAGATGCGGAAGCATAGAAGTACAATAGAAAAAAAAAATCTGCAATGTGGTTTTGTGCGCTCTGGGTAAGTGAGTCAACTTTTCTTCATACAACAAAAATCTGCGTTGGGAATGCATTTGCTCGTTGGCTCGATTTGATACGTGCACATTTTCTGAACATGTGTGAACAATTCACCTAAGTAATTGGAAGTGGGACAGTCGGAATGGGAAGGCGGGCGGGTGGGTGTGAACTTTAGGGGTACACGCCTGGGTAGGCAAGATTTTTTTTTGCTTTTGTTTTGAAGTCCCGCTTACGCATTTTCAAATGTGTTTAATATGGAAACCGTGGTGAGTTTTTCTCTTTACCAAATGTTACATTTGGTAAAGAAAAAAACACTAACAATAAAAAAAACATTCCAAGCAAGTTGTGTTTTGGCAATATCGAACTCGTATTTTTAGCTAAAGTTCCCCAGACTTTTGTTGTATCTGGCGGCAGACGAAAAGCAGACGTCTTTGTTGAAACTTGACAAATGACTCCGTTAACCTTTACAACTTTGTTACACATTTTTTTCCCTTGTTCATATTAGTGTTATGACAACGTTTCTTCATGCGCAAAAGTATAACCGTCAGACGCCTTTTTGACACCGTGAATGCATTAGCTGTCAGTTCACGTACTTTGAACAGCGGGGCTGTTTTTTTTTTACCTTCTTTTGAAAAAAAAACTCCCAAAAACCTCAAAGTATGCAGTCGCATTACGAGCGTACGGTTCAACCGTGGTTTGTCTGCGTGACAGGTGAAGAGCTTGTCGACTGCCGGTGGGAAAGTGCTTATCACCAGAGGTCGAGCGTCGCCAACGGCACTCACTTCCCAGCTTGCGTTCGGCTTCTCGCTCTGCTGCCGCCCTGTCCCCATTTTCTGCCTGCGAGGCCTCGGTTTTCGCCGTCTCGCTCTCGTCTGTTGGGGAAGGAAAGACAAAGATCCCCCCGGTGTAGCGATAAAACAGACTCTTGGGACAAGCGCTGTTAGCGAGTAGTGCCTTCGAAGGCCGGCACGGCACACACAGAGGTGGGTGGCGAGGACCACACTCGGCCGCCTTTGTCTCCCCAGTAGCGATGTTTACACACCACACCAGGCGCTCATTTGAGGCTGAGTAAGCCTAGGGGAGGCCTAGAACCAGTTCAGATAATCGTCACTGATGCTGACCATGAGCAGGAATCAAACTCGGGTCACCGGGTTTGTAGCGTAGCGCACTAACCATAGCACACACACACATATATATAGCACTGTTGTGGGTAATTCCAACATATTCAAAGTTGTCTGGACAGCGTGTAAAGGTGGAGGCTTTTCTACCAGCAGTAGTGGTGTCGGTAAGCAATTGCAGGTCACCTTAACCTATGGGGCTTTTAATTATCGTCACTGCAGCTTTCACGTTTGAATTCTATATTAAGTTGAAATTAACCGACAATATTACAATTCACAAACCCAAAGGTGATCATGGCAATGCAGATATCAGGCTCTCATATTTCTTACGAGAATGACCATCATCATGTTTGACCTAATCCTTCAATTTTCAAATAAAAAGAAGAGTAATATTTCACCAATAGTTGTTCTTCATTCATGTTCTATATAAAACTGACTATGCAGGCAGTGGTTTTTGTTGACATTGGGATCTTCATTAATGTCACTAAAGCTTTGAGGCTTCCCATTTTAATATGAAGCTAAAATGAACCCACAATATAAACATGTAAAATCCTGACGGTGTCAATCCAATGCCGACATCAAGCTCTCATTCCTTATGATAATAATAACAATATGAATAATACTTCATTAGACCTCCTTTGCCAGTACCAAAATATAATAATAGGGGTTTTCCCTTTTTTTCTGGCAACAAAACTGAAACCTTTTACAAGGATTCATGTCTGCATTAACCACAATACTTGCAGTCAAAATGCAAAAACACACACTATGATAATATATGCATTGTCCTTGAAACTGATTGGTCCACACCAAGGGACGGCTTTCTTTTGAGCCTCGACCCAATTGGCGCATTCTGGCGTCCTCTGGTCGAGCACCAATTGGGCCGAGGCTCAAAAGAAAGCCATCCCTTAGTGTGGACCAATCAGTTTCAAGGACAATGCATATATTATCATAGTGTGTGTTTTTGTTTGCATTTTGACTGCAATTACAGTGGTTAATGCAGACATGAATCCTTGTAAAAAGGTTTCAGTTTTGTTGCCAGAAAAACGGGGAAAAACCCTATTATTATGACTAATACTCTTTACTCAGGAAAACCTCAGTCTCAAGTGCATGTTCATGGTGTTCCTGCTTTGGGATGTTTGACCATTTCCATAAAGGGGGTGTGCTTGTATTCATGTGTGAGGCGACTGAAGTATCCAAAGGATAATCCTGCACATGTGTGAGTAACACGTGGAAATCCACACAGATTAATTCAATAATCGATCCACGTAATCCATCTCCTGCCACTTTAAGCCTACATAACGTGGTATTCTCCATCCAAGTACTGACCAAGCTCAACCTCACCTTGTCTTCCGAGATCTGATGATATTAGTTTCATTGTGGGTGATTTTTTTTTGGTTTAACGATCGCGAAGACAACATTTTTGTTCCAAGGTGAACCCGAACGCGCAGCTACACAGATGAAGCCGGCTACGCTGCAGAGTGATGCGAGGGCATTTCACTGCTTCCTGGTTCCCTGCAGATGTTGTTACCGAGCAAAGCCCCATCTCACTGGAGATACGAGGAATAAATAAACCAAGCAAAAGCTTAGGACCCCAAGCAGCTCGTTTTGATTTTAGCAAAACAAATTTCGCCAGGGTAATCCTTTGATCGAACGTCTCGTTTGCAAGGGTGGCCAGGGTGTCAATTGACATTGCATCGAGTATCAGTTCAAATTTAAATCCTAATAAACATAACGATCTAACAAACATAAGCGAGCAATTATCTCGCGTTCATCTTGTTTGCATCTCACTTCTCTCATCTCACTTCATCTCTATCTTCTTCGACATCTCTCTCATCTCACTACTTCGCGATTTCGTGTCCACATCTCTGAGACTTTATAGATTGAAAGGGGAGTACCCCAGAAATAATTTCTGCTTAGGGCCCCCATTGAAAACTACTGCAGACTATACTCATCTGTGAAACGTAGCACCTTCGTGATAGCCTTGTGCTCTAAGAATATTGTGAATACCAAAAGAACGAAATTATTATTGTTATTAATGGGCCAGCACCGCCACCACTGGCCACGCTAACGCGGCACACCATGCGTCCTTCACTCTACCGTGCCACGATGCGCAACGGGGGCTCGGGTGTCGTGATGTCATCAGCTCGCACGATCATTCACGCACCACTGCCCGGACTGTCAGACAAGAGGTGCCCTCAACGGCTGCCCCAGAACCCTGAAAACGATCCAAAATTTGGACGTCTCACATTAAACCTAAAATGGAATTTAAACACACACCAGAGTGCGCTGCAGGTGACGGAAACGTTGGTATTATTTAAAAAAAAATGCAGTTACAATTGGTCCTACAAAAGTACACGTGCAATTTTTGTAGGCGACTGCTGCGCATATTTTTTGTTTTAACGAAGCCGCGTATCAAGGGATTTTTTTATCCAGTTCACATTGCGTGGGTTTGGGTCACACGCACAAACACTGACCTGGAAACTGAGTAATTCACCCGGCGAGTAAACGCATCTTATGCGGCGAACACTCAACCTGCTGTGGCTCTCGGTCTCTCGGAGCAAGTTCCGTGTGATTGCTGAACGTAAAATAACGACGGGACAGCCATCCGAATAGACTCGCTCAAAGTGTGCACCATTTGCGTTCAGCTGACAGAAACTTGTTCGACCTCATAAAACCAGCCGGTCCCTTCGGCCAAGCTGCCAAAACGCACACGATGCTAAAGGATCGTTCATGATGACGGTGATTATGACTAAACTTTCGATTCCCCTGGACAGCAGCATTAATGTGACGCCACCTAATTTGGAGCAGAGCGGAGCAACTTGAATCCCTGGTTGTGAGATCAATATGCAGGGACATGTTCTGTGTTACGTTGGTGGAGTGGAGGAAGTGATATTGAAAAGTCACTTTCGTACATTTAATCCCCCTGTGATTCAAGTTTGTCATCGGGAAAGGACAGCTTTGCCCAGAATCTCGCCATTCTTTTGCGTTTCAATTAATATGCGCAGTTATATTAACAACAAAACTATTTCAGCTGGCATTCTGTTTTCATAGAAATGGGTCCAGCATACTTCTTTTTGCAAAACTATAAAATACAAATAAAAACCGTGTGCTTAATGTAATAATGAGGAAAGATATTTGATCCGAGTCCAAACAAGTCCACAACACGGAGCTGGTGGAAGAAAAAACGTCTCACTGCACCTCCTTTGATGTAAAACGCAATTCTTTAACGGAATGCCCTGCTTTGCATGCCCCATGCGCTTTTCATCTATTTATTTTTCTGCGAAAAGAGGGGAGAGAAAAATGGAGGGTTGGGGGGATGTTAGGGGGGGGGGGGAGTGTTTGGGGGTGCGGGGTGGTTGGACGGGGGGGGGGCACGAGTTTGGGGAGGCAGTCGTTCCGTTTGATCTGTCACAATTTATTGTGCGGAAGGGCGAACAAAAACGCGATCCTGAAACGGCACCGTGTCACCCTGACCCTTGCCCGTGCACACGAGGGCCTTTGATGTGCCGCAACGGCGAAATGTTTTTTCACAACCACCCCCCTGCCCCCGCGCCCCCCCCCCTGATCCCCGTAACTCAAGAACCAAGGTGGTGCTGCTGCAGACGGAGCTGACGCGTCCGTTTCTGCCGTTCCCGGCTCCAATGCACACCTGGAAAACGTGCATCTTCTCTTGAGTTTCATTTTTCTTAAAAAAAAATCTTATAATTTTGTTTTGCCTTAGCCTTCTTCATACGGAATGCAGTGAATGGGCAGGTCAACAGGTGGACCCACCTGTTGAATTGTCTGCAACCCTTCTCAGAGTAGTTTGTCGGACCTTGAAATAAATTATATTTATTTCTCCACTCATCGTGTCCCTTTGAAGGAGTGGCCACACTGGGCGTGCAAAACCAGATTCTGATGTCGGGGGATATGGTAGGGGACTTTTACAATAAGCAACATCAGTTCATAACTTTCCACCCTCTGTTATTCCACTGCTGGATGAGGGGCTACCCATGCCGTGGCAGTCATGACGGTTGTTTCAATAAGAAGTATTCATTATCCTTTGCTATGCCGGTCAAGGTGGGTTGGTGATGGGTAGGGGGCCTTTGACCACTTCATTCATCGCCCGTCACTGTTGTTTAGCCGTCGCAGGGACATGAACTCTGGTCGTTGGGTTCACAGCACAGCGCGATAACCAAACCACTGCACCACCACCCCATTGAATCAATTCACAGGCGTCCATATATGCTTTTTCACATTAATTTGGACTGGTGGTGGACCCACTGATTGCGGTGACCTGTGCCGATTTGCAGCTGGGGACGGAATGTCACAGAAGCTATTCTACAGGCATCCTTCTGCAGACATGAAGAAAACAGACGCCTCCTGTACATCGCAAAAAAGAAAAAACGATTCAAGCACCTGGATAAACCTGCGTCTGCCGCCCCTTTCTCGAGCAACGCTGCATCGCGCGCGGACAATGAGGGCGAGTGGATTCCACGGCGAAGCCGTGTGCATGGAGCCCCTCGCATCGTCTCGGTCTGTCGGTTAAGGGTCACCTCCTCCCTCCTTCCCTCCTTCCTCTTCTTTCACCAAGTAGCCCAAGCGCTAAGGGGGCGGCGGGTTGGTAGCACTTGTGGCGGAAAATGCTACTCGTGTCCACCATAAGCAGCGTCCACCATAGGCAGCGTCCACCATGGGCACACATCTTCGAGTATATTCCGTCTGTGTTAGTGATACCCTTTTTTTAAAACTTTCATATTCTACAAGACATTTCA